CAAAACAGCTTAGCAAATATTCTCATATTTTTTTAACTTATATTCAATCAAAGTTCCCTATTAGAGCGATAAAGTGTATCATAATGTATCATGTCTTATGATGTTGTATTGGGCTGTATCATATTGCATTGTTTCACAGTGTATTGTATTGTAGCTAGCGTAGCAGATTGGATCAGATCATATCCTTATCTATTATATCATATCATATCTTGTCATATTGTATCATATGTATATATATATATAGAATATCATTTTCTAATGTATCACGTCGTATTGTATCATACTGTATCGTATCGTGTCATGTTATGTCGTTTCATCTCTTATCGTATCATCTCTTCTTGTCTCATATCGTACCGTATCCTATCCTAATGTACCGTTTTGTGTCATATCATCTTGTCTTGTTTCACACTGTACTGTATCTTACTATCCAATTCTATCTTAAATATATCCCATATTACTGGTGTCTTCATTTATCATATCTTAATGTTCAGTTTAAAGCACTATGTGTCACAATGTACAACTGTATAGTATTGTACTGTATCATATTGGTTGTGTCCTAATGTATCCTATCGTATCATGTTAATCTTAACAATATCTTTTTGAATCTTCTCTCATTGTAATATGTCAATCAAAAAAAGTCTTTGTTTTTTAAGTCAAAGAAAAATTTGTTTGTTTTCATTAAAAAGTCAGCCACCTTCCCTTTTACTGACTTTTTTTTTTGACTGATCTGTTTACACAGAGTAACATTAAGTACTTCACTCAGTCACAATGGACACGATCAAGATCTCATGAGCAACATGATTATTTTAAACATTTCTTTTTAAAACATCTCATTGCCACAATAACTTCACAGGTAAAAATATAAATATACTTTTTTGCAAGAATGACAGCTATTTATTTCATAAAGTTATGTCAGTTTTGTTAACTGGTGGCAGTTTTAAATTTACTCTCTCAAATGTATTATTTACATTTTTACTTGGAGGAAAAGATCTGATGTAGTGCCATTGAGTTCTGACAGAAAATTGGCTTATCATCATGTATAATGATGGTGTTTTACGCACTCCTATGCTGTAATTATGCAAAAATGTAATTTCTTACAATCTAGTTACCTACCTTGAAGCAGTGAGATGATGGACCCACCTCTGTGAAAATGCTGGCAACAGGCATTTTCTTGATATTCCCCCCCTGTAACAAAAAGAAAAAATAAATACATGGATCTGGATTGTGATCCCAAGAACCTGTTGACCCTTGATCCGCCCCATGCCCTGCGTCATTATTGGTCTTGGTCTTAATATTTGTTTTTTAAAGCATGTTGAACATGTCAAATAGACTAATGACCAGCCCTGGGGTCTACTGAAGTCCTCTGATGATTTACTTACCTCGCAAACACACGCAAACACACACACATACAGATCAATCATTACACTCTGACCACATTGTACATTGATTAAGAAACAAATACTCTCAATTGCTTTTTCCATGGTCACACTTTGAAACATCAAGTTGAATGTGATTTGCTCCTGTTGAAAAAAATGACCAGTGTTTCTATTACCATATATTTAAATGGTAATATTTTAGCCCCTATTCCTTCCGCCTCTTTGGTTAGTCTGACTGACACTTCAGCATCAACACAGGCAGGAAGCCAAACAAAGCCGTTTTCATAGATGGACTTTTATACAAGAGATGCATGGGGAATCTGTGAGAATGCAATGCAGGTGTCGTTGCCCCTTGGTAATCTCCTTCGTCTTCAGGAATTCATTTTCTCAGCGGCTTCACTTGAAAATGACATTCTGACACCATTTACATGGAAATCACTCTGCCTCTTCATCTGTAATTGTGGCCTGTGTGCAGACAGGGCTTCTCTGAGGGCTGCACTATTAATGGACATAAACAGAAAAGTTGAAAAAAATCAACGAAGTAGAAAGCGAGGAGATGGAAAAAGGGAAGTGAAGAAAACAACCGAAGAAAGGAAAGGAGCAAATAAGAGAGGGAAAAAGGACAGATGGAAAGTGGAAAGGGAGGAGAGACCGTAAAAAGAAAAAGGATAGCAAGGCAAGAAGAACAATAAATGGTAGGATAGAAGGAAGTAATGGGGAAAAAGAGACTAGATAAGGAAGGATGGAGGCCCAAGAAAAGAGAGGGAAGGAATCGCAAGAAATAAGGGAACAGTAAAAAAACAAGAGTGGAGGGAGGAAGAAAGAGAGAAGACTTAATGGGAATGGAAGGCGGGGATGGAAGAAAGTAAGATGAAAAACAAAAGGAGGAAAGATGGGATGAAGAAGGACAGAAACAATGAGGATGTAAGGCAGGAGGGGAGAAAAAGAAGGACTGAGGTGATAAAGGAAGAAAAGGGCAGGAAGAGGAAGGAAAAGAAGAATAAAAAACGAACTGTGGGAATTCAGGATTAGATGAAGGAAAGGAAGGAAGGCAGCAAGGAGGGAAGGAAGGAAGGAAGAAAGAAAGAAAGAGGAGCTGGATTTCTAACATGGAGTTTCAGGGTTTAAGTCAAGGTCAGAGCTTTAGGTATTAAGGGATGAAGAAGGGTTGGAGACACTGGGGGAAAGCATAATGAGAGAAATTCCAATTTTCCCTCTAAATGTGGGCATCCTCTCTCCCTCTCTCTTCATCTCTCCTGTACTCTCTACCCCTCTTTCCCACACACAGGAGAGAGAGAGATAAAGATTTTCCCTGAAAGACGGAGAGAAAGCCACCAGCAAAGCTCACTGCTGAGAGGTTACTGAGAGGAATGCAGATATTCAGGTTGGAGGGGTGTTGGCAATAAGAAACATGTTTTTGTTTTTTTTTACAGAAATTTGCAAATAAAAGAAAGCTGCGATTTTAGAAATGTACATGAACTCAATACAGACTTGTTTCCATGGAACAAAAACAATTGAGTGCATGAGTCTCCTAAAATAAAAGCAGGTGGAGCATAAACATTCTGCAGACATCTCTGCACACAGTCTTGCACCACCTGCACACTAACACCTGTGACCTCTGGCACAAATGTATGCATGTCAACACAGTAGGCTACATGCAAAAGGATACACACATTACTTGTGAAGCTGTAAACCAATGTTGTATGGTAGTATGTGAAAGTGATGTCCAAACTAAGGCTATTCTTCATAATGATCCAGTTTTACCACATATTAGATTATTTATATGTACCTTCATTATGTTTCAAGTATAAAGTTCTATTTCAGCTATTTATGCTTAATTTCTGTACAATGAAGGTAAAGGTGGAGAGTTACAGCTATTCAGTTGGATTAACACTGCCTCCATCTGGCTTTGCTGCAGCACTACTTGGTGAGCTCTTTCAAACATCAACTCTGCACCACTGAAATCCAAAACAGTGACATTTGAAATAATTTTATTGTGACAGCTGTTTTCCTTTTTCAAACACTTCCAATGGCCCACTGGACACAGCATGACAGCCATGTCATCTGCAAAATCTGGCGATAAAATCTTAGCGTGCAGAGCTTAGTGCTCAAAACAGATCAGGGTGTGATGTTAAAATTATTTTTATTTTATTTTTTCTTCTCTGCAATACATTAAAATAATATATTATTGGAGTTGTTTTGAGCTCAGAAGGAAAACTACTTCCAACATATCTACTACTAAAATTATCTCTGAGGGAATTTATTATTTTAAGAGTACTAGCTGATAAGTTTTTTGTCAGTTGTTTGCACAAATTATCCCTCTGTCAGGCTTTAGTCTATTATTGCCACTTAAGGAGAGGCTAGGTTTCTATAAAGTTTGTGAAGGTGCAGTTTTGATTCACAGCCATCTCTCTTGATTCTGAAAATATCTTTATATTTAGCCCAATGGCGGTCTGTACTAAAAAGTCTGTGGTCACTGAACATCAAGCTTTTGTTAGCTTGCTGTTTTTTTTGCTACGGTGGCCAAGAACCGCCACTGCTGCAAATTTAAAAAAAAGAAGTCACAACAGAAGTTACTGCAAATAAAAAAAGAAACAATGCAGATTAAAAAAAAGCCACAACGGAAGTTAACGACACAAAAAAAAGTGGCGATGGAAAAAAGAAGTTACTCACTGCGAAAATAAAAGGATACAAATAAAAAAATCCACAACAGAAGTGAGCTGCCGGGGACCAATGATGATGATGCAGCGAAAAGTAAGTGGAAAGGTTATTGTTTAATTTCGCTTTGTGTGCTTTTCAATATGTCATTTGGTTAGGCCATGTAGCGCCTGAGTCGATATGAAGTTGAACTGAAGCTAACACTACACCGGCATCCTCCAGTTCAACTTCCTTTCCACTTACTTCTTCGCTCGTCTACTCACCGTTGTCTTCTGTGCCTAGATCGTAAAACACCAGTGCATCATCATTATTGGTCCCCGGCAGCTCACTTCGGTTGTAGTTTTTTTTTTATTTGCCCACTTTTACTTTTGCAGTAAGTAATTTTTTTTTTTTTTTTTTGCATCTGCACTTTTTGTGTCGTTAACTTCCATTGTGGCTTTTTTATCTGCATTTTTCTTTTCTTTTTTATTTGCAGCGGGCTTTGGTTTCCCTCTTTTTTTTTTGCATCAGTAACTTATATTGTGGCTTCTTTTTATTTTTGAAATGTATTTATTTATTTATTTATTTTGTCTTTTTTTATTTGCAGCAGTGGCATTCTTTTTTTTTTCATTATTTTTTATTTGCAGCAGTGGCGGTTCTCGGCCGCCGTAATTTGTTTTTTATATTTCAGCAGCCTAGACGCCAAATTTGCTACCTTCAAGTTTCCTCGTGTTTTCTGTAGGTCAATCATTTTAACGTTTAAAATTTATTTATAAATCTTGAACAACAACGACTAATATTGATCATTATAAAAGGAGATGGAATTTTCAAACATATGGCTTTCGAATGCCACATTAAACTCTTTTGGGAAAAGGTCTTCGAGGCCTGAAAATCAATTTGCTGTAAATACTTTTCATATCTTCCAGTGTCCCTGAAGGTAACATACACCCAGGCGTTCCATACGTATTTTCTGGGTTGATAGGCGGAGAACGTCTACGTCATCACGTACAGCGGAACGTCTCGGAGAAGATAAACAAAAAGGAAGGAAGCCGTCGGCCATACAATCGCGGCAAAAATCGGTTCAAAATTTTAGCTCGTAAATCGTAGCTAGCACCTACATGTTCCCTTTGAATTGCGTTAATATTTATTGTTAAGCGTTTACAATCATGGACGAGGCGATAGTGTTTCGTATGAGTGCATTTTCGGAGCAAGGGGGAAGGAAATACATGGAGGATGTTGTCGATATAAGAATCGAGTACGAGCCGACGCCGTCGTCAGTGGAAGATTATCTAAAGTCTCAGAGTCATGGAGGACAGGAGAAAGCGGAGAGCGAACCTACCAAACAGACTGAAATGGAGACACTTGAACAAAACGCTGAAGCCGAATCGGGTCCGGCTGCTGTGTGGGTAGAGAGTCTCCCTGAAGAGGACACAAGCGGCCACAACAGCGCACCGGCATCAGACGAGCGGAAAGTGGCAGAGCATGTTGTCGACACTCGGAAGTCTGTGGCTTTTTTCGCCGTGTTTGATGGTCACGGGGGTCGGGAGGCTGCACACTTTGCCAGAGAGCATCTGTGGGAACTGTTGAAAAGACAGCGGGGGTTTTGGTCGACGGATCACAGCGAAGTGTGCGCCGCTCTCAAGAAAGGCTTCATCGCTTGTCACCATGCGATGTGGAAAGAGCTGCGTAAGTCATTATAGAAAGGCATTTTTAAGAGTCACTGATACAGCTGTCTACCCACTGACACAGTTCCTGCAAGGTCAAACTGTAAACTGTGTCACAGGAAGAGCTCAGACTCAGCTGATGCTATTATGATGCCCGATCCTCTGCCAACTAGCCCATCCCAATACATGTAAACACAGTGAGCCATCATCTGACTACAACATGGATTTCACTTGATGTGACCTTTAAAAAAGGGGGTGTATTGGATGTTATTATACGGATAAAAGCAGATTAATGTGGGCTGAGAATTTTACAAACATGAAATTTCACACATGACAACGAAATTAATCTATTAATGCAACAAATCATCCTAAAATTGCAAAAGTGTGCAATGCATACATGTGTTTGCATGGCCTCAGGCGTCTAATATTATCAGGAAAAGTCTAGATTGGGTAAGCCTAGCAAACTACACCAACATATATTAGATAACTGAGTAAAAGAATGATTTAATCCAGCTCTATAAGATAAATGGGGGAAACCGGGGCTTGTTGTCACAATTTTTACACCCTCATATAATTCTTCACTCCACTTCAACTTTATTATGTTCCAAAATGGGCAAATCGGTTTGCAGCAGGCACAGGCATTTAAAACACTGCCATACATGATAAAAGAAAATAATTAAAATAAAATACATTTACATAAAAAAAAAAAAAAAAAAATCAGGAGGTAAAAAGCATTACAGACGATTTAGAAGGGGGAAAAAAAGGCATATGTCAGTCATACCAGCATTTTTGTATGAGTGGAGTGCATAAAATGGAGAAACAAAGTGCAATGTTCCTCTTAAACATGTGACAACTAACTAGGCCTGGGCGATTTGGCAAAAAAAAAAGATCACAATATATTTTGTCATATTGTCGGACCTCGTTTACTATCACGATTTTTTTTTTAACCACCTGTTTTAAAGTATCTGAACTAAAAACAGAAGAAACTAGAGATTAGTTCAACATTGTATTGACATACGAATGAAATAACAAAACAAATTGAATAAGCTACACTTAGAAAAATGTAAAAAAATATTTTAACTTGAGTACAACAAATGTAGATAAATACTAAATAATACAGTGAATGAGTTTACAGTCCTGAGTGTGTTTGCAGGTATGCAAGACCCAAAATAAACAAATCGCCCCCTCAGAGCTAATGAAGACGCCTTTAAATGTAAATATTAGATGATGTAAACATAGGTGATATGATTGATTGCTGCTTTGGTCTGGTGGCTTCACCGCTAGTTGTGGCTAAACTGGGGGGACTGGACTTGAGAACCACTGAGTTAGCTTAAAATAGAACAATGACTGAGGTATTGTCTCTCCTCTAACAAGTCCACGTGTTTCACTGCTGGGATTTTTATCTGGAAGAAGCTTATTTTGAAATATATAAAGTTTTTTTTTTTTTTACTTTGGGTTGTACGAAATGGTTAATTGGTGCTCATCTCAGCTCACAATGTGCTCTTCACTTCTCAGACAAGACGTGGCCCCTGACCATATAAAGGAAGAAAACTAGTATTCCACTTTTTAGTTGCGCCCTCTGGTGGCAAAGATAATCACAATGTGACAACTTACCCATGTGACAACAAGCCCCGGTCTCCCCTACATGTAGGCATTAAACTTCTAATGCTGTTGTAAATAATGTTAACACGTGAAGAAAAACTAGACTCAGTATTATTTCAGATTTCAGTGGTTTAAAAGCAACTCAAATTATTTTTATTTTTCTGATCCCATCATAGCATCTGTCATCTAGGTTTATAATACTCTTTTTTTGTGATGGGAGCATAATTCAATTTTATTTGATTTGATGGGACGTGAAGGAGCACACATGTATCAGCAGGGATTCAGACTAATAATATTATGGTGAAATCTTGGCTCAGGTAAACATATCAAAACACATGAGAACTATTATGCAGCAACTTAACCTTAAAAGTGGTGCATCTTCATCTGCAAAGGTATGCCATTAATATGATTAGTAATTTCCCCTGCTCTCTCTTTTTGCTTGAGGTCCTACTGTCACCATGAAAGAACTATGATAAATAACAATTATTCTAAATGGATTCAAATTTCTCTGAAAGTGTCTAAATCTCCAGAGTAATTCAACAGAGTGTGAAAACAGGCACAGAACCAAAGTATCCCACACGGTTTCTCTAAATAATGGTCCTTACAGCTGCTGAAGTGAAGCGGGGTCAACAGTGTATGTTGGTCTCTGACTCATTCGCAGGCTCAGCCAAGGGTTTCATGTTTGTTTAAATCTGTGCTAACATGTATAAACATGACTTTTCTGTCAGCTCTCAATAATCCAATTGTTTTGCATTATGTTTAAACATGGTTTCCTCTAAAAAAAAAAAATTTATCCACTCTTGAATCAAAACGCACAGTCCAAAGATCTTCACATGGTATTTATTCAACAACACAGACAGAAAAATGAGGAAAAATAAAGGCTACAATAGCCAGAATTTTTCAACCCCACACTTCCAAAGAGTGTCTAACATTACATTACACATTTCACTTAGTACTTTTCTTTCTCTTTTACAGCGGAGTGGCCTAAGACTATTACCGGCCTGCCCAGTACGTCAGGCACCACAGCCAGTGTGATTGTGATCCGGGGAACCCACATGTATGTTGCTCATGTTGGGGATTCAGCAGTAGTGGTTGGAGTGCAGGAGAATGACTCTGATATTACGCTCCAGGCTCTTGAAGTAACACAAGACCATAAACCTGAACTTCCTAAAGAGAAAGAAAGGATTGAGCGACTTGGTGGCAGGTGAGTCAAGGAAATGGACCTCATAAGTAAAACTGTGTGAATGGAGGCATGTTTCAAGATTGAATCCAGCTACATGACTCTGTGATACTGCCACATATGTTCTTGTGATAGTTAGATATTTTCATGTATTTGTTCCTTTTAATACTTCTGAAGTTTTGGTCAAGCTGAAAACTCGCCATAGTGTTAAGTTGATTTATTTATTCCTCTGTCTGCAGCGTAATGAAGAAATCTGGAGTTAACCGTGTCGTGTGGAAGAGGCCCAGGCTGACTCATAATGGTCCTGTGAGGAGAAGCACAGTCATAGACCAGATCCCCTTCCTGGCTGTGGCCCGATCTCTTGGTAATGATAATAACCTGATAGTTTGGATGAGCGAACATACAAATGGCATTTAAGCAACACAAATTTTATCACGATACGGGGCTCGACATTTCACAACCATTTCACTCACATTTGCAACTAAAAAAAGGAGTGTGCAAATTGTAAAATGTATTTAGGGGCATGTGTGGCAAATAGCAGAGGCAATAATTGTTTTTTTCATGTAAACACCGCGGTGAAGATAGTTTTAGGTTGGAGATTCGACTGACATTCACTGCGGATCTACCAGTGTCTTCTCACTCTCCATTACCGGGAATGGCAAGAGCAGCGCATATAAATCTACTCAGCATCCTCACTGTCAGTGTCGGGTGTTGAATAAGGGACCATCAATAAATTACTTGTTGATGTTCTCAAAAAAGGCTGCTTTCCTTCAGTAGCTTCCATCTCATGTGACCAATATATCTAAAATTGAGTGCAAATCGCAGTACCAAGATTGGATAATAGACACACCTCTTCATTTCCCTAATTTGTCCTCAATACATTTTTTGTGTTCAATTTAAAAGGCAAATTTTGAACATTTTCTTCAATAGCTTCCATGTCATGTGACCAATTGATCTAAAATTGATTGCAAATAGTAGTACTTATGTCAACCAATAAGACACACATTATTTGATCAGTTTTCATTAAGTTCGTGTCAAGCCCTGCGATAACAAACATAGCATGATTTATTACATAACATTAAATGCATTTTTTGGTACAAGGATTTTGACACTGTGATTTATTTGTAGTGATTCTTTGAGTAGGAGGATGATAACCTTTGTTTTCTTTGATCTAATTCAAGAACATATCTCAGAGTATAAAAGCTGTACACCACCCTCAGTCAAAAAGTACTTTTTGTGCAGTCAGATCAGTGGGATGCATTTTTTTCCCACATTCTCACATTAGCCAATTTGATCACACTTGTTTTTGGGAAGTGGAAGTAAAGTTACAAAAATTATTGTCACCTTTTTCTGAGCATTTCCATGTTGCGTCACACTTCTAATCTATTAAAAAGGTGATCTATGGAGCTACGATTTCTACAGTGGAGAGTTTGTGGTGTCTCCAGAGCCTGATACCACTGTTATGACCCTCGACCCCAAACGGCATCGGTACATCATCCTCGGCAGTGATGGACTATGGAATATGATGCCCCCCAAGAATGCTGTCAACATGTGTTTTAGCCACGACAAAATGGTGGTGAGTATCCAAGCTCTTTGTCAGTGTTTCATAATCACATTAAAGCAGTTTGACCATCTATAAAAGAGTCTCCAGTGTTCGGCAGAAAAGCGTATTTAGCCTCGATGTTTTCATTTTGGTGAAAATTCCTGGAAGTTTTGGGTTTGACAGGATTTTAAAAAATTCAGACTGCTTAATTCTTGACTTTGATGCTTCTTTGCTTCTAGGGCCCAAAGGGCATGTCCTGCGCCCGTCGGCTGGGGTGCACAGCCCTGCTGTTCTGGAAAGAGCGCATGCTCCGTGCAGACAACACAACTGTTATTGTCCTGGCCCTGCAGGAACGCAATGGCCCTCCTATTCCTATGCACCGAGATGAGATTGTTGTTGACATGGCCACAGGAATTGACCATGTTCCGTATCCAGGAACTACTTATAACACATGTGAGGTCCCAAAGGTCAGTGCTACGTCTTTGTTGTGTCTTTTTTTACTTAATCATTGGATGAATCATATAAATCATAAAAGAAAACTGCAAATATTTTCCAAATGCAGAGTGGGTCAAATGTGGGAAAGGATCTCAGCACCACTCTGACAGTGGAAAAATATGCTTAACGTCTGTGTGTTTGTTTGTTGTTTGCTTTCCACTGTATTGTCCCTTTTTATATTCAGATTCATTTTTATTGTCATTGTGTTTAATACTTTCACCTGTAAAAGTATGAAGGCTTGTAGTCAACACGGCTTAACTCAAGGTCGTAGCAACAGTTACCATCAGTGGGCCTCAATGAATCACTCAATCTTTGTTTTCGGGGCCAACAGGCGGAGCATGAGGATGACATGTTTTATGAAGAAGATGAGATATATGGAGAAGAACATGAGGGATGGCCGTGCCTGGAGTGGTAGTGAGGTGACTGCTCAAATCTAAAACTGTGTCAGAGTGTCAGCTAATCGACCTGTCAGTGATTTAATGTTTTTATAAGCTGAAGAACTAGGCTCGCCTGCTGGAAAATGCAGCTTTCTGGTCATAAAAATGACTCCTCTTCCAGCTTGTAAGTCTTCTTTTAGCATTTGTTAGTTCCTTTGGTTTTGATATCGTACAGCATATTCATGGGGATGAAATTACTAGTATCATCAGTTCCACTTTAACTATATTTTATCCTTTTTCCAGCGGAGGGAGGCAGTCAGCTATCTGGCTAACTAAAAAGTATTTTCTTAAATACAAATCAACGATAAATCATGTCCAGATACAGAGATGAAGGTTTGGATTTTGTACTTGAACAGAATATATAAATTCCCCTTATGACAGTGTGCTGTAATTCATTTTCTTTTCAAACAAAAGAAGACATTTCATCCTTCTTTAACCCTGTTTTGCGTCAGCGAGACAAAGAGATGTCTTTGCTCTTATAAAAACTGAACATATATAAGACAGGAAAAAAAATCATCTACACTACAAATAACAACTTAAACATTGTTTCAGTTGAAATCCATCTTTATTCCTACTGCCTACATTCTGTATAACCTCCATTATCACTTGTATCATAGTCACTCATCTGTGTGTCTAGCTGACATTGATGAATGACAAGTTGTGTTTTATTTTTCCTCCCTGTATTCTTGAATAATAAGGAAAAAAAAAAGAGCTTTTATTTTTATAAATGGACAGTTTGATTCAAATAAGCTAGAAAACTAAAGTTTAGGCGTTATTTTAAAAGTGGACATTAATCTGTCATTTGTTTTCTTAAGCAGAGCGATGCAGTGACAGCTCCTTCTCCATTCAAAGACACTTCCACAGCTCTGGAGCAGGCATTTGGGCTGTATGAAGCAGCTTTCTGTGCCACCGCACAGCTCCTTCCTGATGTTGACTCTGTGAGGGCCACACTGCCCCCCTCGGACGGTTCTGTGAATGTTTTTGAAAAGCAAGACTCCACAACCCAGATGGACTGTGTATCATCATCTCCTCTTCCTCCTCCTCCTTTGAAAAGGTCCCGCCGCTCCCCGCACTCTCAGTCTGAACCCGGAGGTCCTCGCCGTCGTCTTGGCCGGCCCTCCAACAAAAGTGTCCCTCAGGAGACGCCTCACAGTGACGTACAAAGCGAACAATCGAGTCAAAGAAGCTCCTCTGAAGAACGCAGCATCCTACAGCACCGCAACTCTGCCTTGTGTGTGTGTGCCGAATCTTGAACTCAGAAATGTTTTCCTGCCCTGAGACTAAAAAGGATAAACTGCATTGGGTCAAATTTGCTTATGTGTCAGGTGTAACAGGCCTATTCCTAGATGTATACTTTTATACAGAGTCTGTTTTTGTAAATACCGGGGAAATTTGAAATTGTAAATGTGTTGCTGATTTAACCTTTTTTGTTTCTTCTCTTAATGCTGCCCCTGCTATAAATTTTAATCAGAAATTTTAAATTTTACATCTGCTCAATCTATTTTCATACTTAGAAGTATCTATAGTATATCCAAAAAGACCTATTTTAAAAGAAGATAGATCACCAAAATCTGAGAGAACTACGGTTGACACTGGCAACCATCTGGAAATAATATTTATCAAATAAATCAACTATTTTGGATTTCTTTTAATTGATACCTTAGACCAGTTGTTTGGACATTCAAGTTCAATAGTAATGACGCCCTCATAGTGATGATATTTTGGCTGAGAGATAATGGGGGAATAGATGACGAGCAATAGTCTGAGGTTATTATTATTATTATTATTACTAGAGGACTAATTTTAAGACACTATTACATACTTTCATGTCAATAATTGCTACCATAAGCTACTAAGTGTATCTCATGCATACTGTGTGAGGAGATGTTAAAGGGTCAGTTCACTGACAAAGCGTATTATTTTATTTACCAGAGGGGTATCTATTCATGTGGGTACTGTACATATGTTTGTTTCGGTGTGCTGACCCTGTGAGGAAACTTCACTAGAGAGTCATATTGATCCATTCCAAACACCTCCATGTGTGATTTGGTTTTTAACCGTTCTTTTTTCTTCATTATTATTATTATTTTGAAACCTCAGCCTTTCCAGATGTATGTTTTAAGTGGTACAAGTTGTTGGTTGATGATGAAAAAAAAATGAGATCAGTGTCTGTGCCTCAGTGGAAATTGGTCAAGGGGGCAGCTTAGATGTGTTCCTATAGATAACATCAATATAATTTTTAAGTGTTGATAAGGCACTAGCTCTATTTTAATAGGTCTTCCTCTTTGTTTTCATGAATTGTACTCGTGTTTGTGGTTTTCATCCATAACGTGTTTTAATCTGCACATAAAAGCACATTATGGTACATACATCCTATACAGAAAGTGCCCCATCCATGGTATAAAGTGATCAAAGTTCTAACTTGTGTTTATATGGCAGCTCGGTAACTGTTCTAGCTGATTTGTTTGCCTTCTTTTTACATAAGCGTGTCATGTTTGCCTTAGCACAAATGAGTCAGAGGTGCTTTTTTAACATGTTTTCATATTTGTGACTCAAGACAAGTGTGGATCTCTCAACGGTGTGTCATTCTGAGTGTGGCTGTGGCTCAGCTTTCGACCATTTATCACGCACCTTCAGTTTTACATTTGACCATCCACACTGCAGCATTACACGTTTCATGTCTCTCAATTCTACAACAAAGCAGTGTGTTTGTTTTGTACAGTACGTCAATATGCAATACAAGTTTGTACAGTACATTATTATGCAAAACTAAATGGATATTTCAGGAGTCTGGCATGCTCAGATCTACTTTGTATGTTGTGAAGTGTCCTGAGGTAATGGATGTTCATGAGCATGTGGTTTGTTTTTGACATTTACAATACTTGGCTCTGGCTTCATATCCACCGCAGCCAGTTTTCAAGACTAACTGTATAAGTTACATACTTTAAAAGTGACTGATTATATGATGTCTGTGTGTTGTAATAAAGTTCTCAATTTTTCAAATGGTGCTGTCAAATCCGTTGTGATGTCTACTTTTTTCAATATTTTAATCAAGAGCAGATCACAAACTTGCAATGCAGAGTACTGATGGCTTTTTTTTTTTTTTTTTTTTTTTCAGCCATTTATTTCAGTTCTTCAGCAATGACAAATACATATTATTGAACATGGGTTAGCTACATTCATTTCAGGGGAATCAAGACTTTGCAAAAAAGAGAAAAGAAAAGAGAAATTCATAGTCCTGCATACAAAAACACGTAAGTTATAATATAAATTATAATATGGGGATCATACATTCAGTACAGATCATAGAGATGACCTTAAGGCTTCGTAGAAAGTCTTATTTGTTAGTCCAGTATGTGTTTTAAAATATATCTTTATTTCATTTTTAAACTGGTGGATATTTGGTTTCTTTTTAGACCATTTACATTTATGTATATAAAATCTTCCATACAAAGTAAAAAGGTTTAACAAAAAAATATGACTTCGGTCCATGTTCTTTTTTTTCTATTGGTGCCCCAGCCTGTGTAGCATCCGCCTACAGCAGTGACACTCTCACCCAACTTTCCTTAAATATCTTGAACAAAACTCTATTTTATGATCTTCTTTCACTTGATTTGAACTCACAACTATTACAATGAAAGCTAGAACTCTTGACCACGACACTACACCACCTGGCAGTACAGTCACCATTAGTTTACATTTATTCCAAACCACAGCTCAAACCACAGTCTACCCAGAATCCTTTCACTGAGGGGCAGCAGTCTCCACCAAACACCACAGGGAAGCCTGACAGCTGGCAGCTTCAGGAGGTCCTTTCATTTCACCATTTGATAATGGAGCTTTAAAAGCACGGCTCAGACTAAGCTGTAGTTTCTTGCCTGTTTCACATAGAAAGCCTCTGTCCTTGATTTGAACCCAGATTTATTTTTATTCATTCAGAGGCAGCAGTTTTTACCACTGCACCACAGCTAAGCCTGGCTGTGCTTGCTTTGGAAGGTCTTTCTATTTTACAGATGATTATGGACATTTAAAAGCACAACGTAAACTTAAATGTGAAGTTGGCATGCCTGTTCTGGAAACCCCATCCGGGATTTAAACCCACAATCTTGTCATTAAGTACTGAGAGGAAGCAGGTTTCATTTATTCACCACAGGTAAGCCTGGCGAGACTTGCTTTGGTTGGTCTATTCACTTCACCATTTGATATCAATGAAAGTTTAAAAACACAGCTGGGACTTTGGCATTTCTTCCTGTCTCACACGGAAAGCCCCCATCATGGCTTTAAACCCAGGATGTTTTTATACAGTACACCACAGGTAAGCCTGGCTGTGCCTGCTCTGAAAACTATAATTTTAGTCACATGATATTCATGAGGCTAATGGAACATACAATCTTGAATCTGTCCTTCCTTTGTAGCTCTGATTCTGTATCAAGGTGAAAAAGACTCAAACCAACAGACAGAACTAAAAGTTAAACAGACTCAATAAAACAAGAGCACAGTACCACTCCTCAGTTTGGGATGAAATTACTCATACTGATGTGCCTTTGGACAAACAGTATCAGTGTTGGCATCAATATTCAGATTTTCATCACTTGATTATCAGTTGACTTTTCTTTTCGTTCCACATGAACCCTCTTTCTTCAAGTTTCTGGACATCAGGAACCCCAAAATACTGGTCTAGAGAGGGAAGGCGTTATTCTGTCTGATTACTGCGGCTTCCATTTTGCTGAAAAATGTACTTTTGGAATATCTTAATTACATTATAATCATCTTTAGTATAACTTGAGATTTGCATGTGTATCATCCAGTCACTTTTGAACAGGGTTTACTTGCAATTCAACTTTATTCCAGTAGATGGTAGTAATATAAAGTAATAGCATTGATTTAGTCTCAGCCATCCATCCAATATCAACGTTAGACTCTGTCTATGCTTTTTAGGAAAGCTCACATTTTTTGTATTTTGAATTTCACAGGTGAGGTCGGTGATCCAAAGAGGTACATGGGCTAAAGCAGCAGAAATAGGAACTTATATAAATCCAAATGGTTTGCTTTAAAAGGTTTGTTAGTGAATAAACGTTGCTTTTCTCGTTTGATAAATATGTTGAATAAATTTAAAGCCAACATGTAGAAGTTGAGAACTGCATCAAACCATGAAAAGTCATCTTTAGCTGGTCAACAATGTGTCATAAAGTTCCTCTATAAGACTGGTGGGTCTGGTCCATAAGTGTTAGAGGTTAACCTGATAACAAACTCGTGTGAAATAAACTCTCTTGTGAGAGAGTGACCTCATCCAAAATATTTCAGTCAAGACTAATTTCAAGATTTTCTACACAACTAAAATGAATGTTTCAGCTTAGGCCATTTTGGCAGGTGGAACAAACTGAACATTCTAATGACACAATCACTTTTTTTCCCCACTCGCATAACTTACAACTTTACAATGTACCGGAAAAGCAGCTTTTAGCCTTTCAAAGCCTGTCACACCGAAACCTGTAACAAAGCAAATTCAGCACAAGACAGTAGAACCATCAAAATGAAAACATAACAAAGAGCTGAAGAACTTTATTTCCTTTTTTCTGTTCTTTGATATTTGATCAGTGCAGCCTTCAAGTATCATACATAGAAACCTTAAAAGACTAGTTCTGCTGCTACATTTTTTAAAAAAAGCTGCTTTCATTTATCCTTAGAAAAATAAAATGTGAAATAAAAAAAATTAAAAAATAAAAGCAGTGTTGAGAGAAGTGTCCAATATAATCGTATAATGATGATAGCAATAGACATGTTAAAAATGGCCTTCAGCACATTTCCTATCAATATTGCACCAAAGAAATAAATGTAAATCCCAGTTTATGTTATATGTTTTATTTTAATATATTATATGATACTTTTAGGGTTCAGGGGTGTTGTCAAAATCTGGTAATGCCCCTGAACAGTTCCATTACAACTGAGTAACCAGTACCTGATAATGGATCAAGGTCATGAAATCCACAACAGGCAAGCAAGTAAGTAAGCAAGCAGACCTTCTCTTGAGTTTAGTACAGATTCTTTGCATTTTCTGTAAGCAGGGACCAGATTTGTCCGTTGTCCAGACTTTTTTTGTCGCTGGCATTGACTGGGGCATCTATGCTCAATCAAACTAATTAAAAGCATTTACCCCTGTTGTCTTTTTGATCACAACTTTCATTCTGTTATCATCATCAAAATTCTGTTTAAGTTTGGCAATTCTTTAAACCATAAGTTAAGTTGTTCATGAAAACTTGACATCCCCAGTGATCTTTTCTTTTGACACGCTGCTTCAGTGACATGTACTGCACTTTGGAAACACATTTCTTGTCCTTAAACATGGTCTGTTTCTCAGACATTACAGACATCAGATCCATGATAGCAATGTCTCAACCTGAATATTTTATTGACTGTCAGCCCAACATCTGCTGACCTGCCTAACATGCAACGTTTCCCTCTTACCGCAGACAGTCTGTCACTGTACATCAGCCACTGGAGCATCACAGTGTCACCCTCCGCTCTCTCCTTTCTCCCCCCACCTTGTATGAACATCATCACAGCAGACTGGGAGGGATTCAGACCACTATTTACCTTCAGCTTTGACACCCCAGTCCTCATGGCGCAAACAGTGAAAGTCTTTTTTGCAGTGGTCCACAGCTAAACGATTGATTTACATACAGTCCAGTCTGAGAAGTCTGGCTTGTCTTCACTCTCGATGAAACTTTATTTACAGAGATTGGATATTTCTGAAAAACTGGTTTATAACAATCCACTGAGCCAGGTACATGAAGTAACAATTTGGGGCTTTGTTTCATGTTATTACCTGATATTAAACAAATGTAGATTTGATTATGCTGAAGTTTAAAAGGTGAAATGTTTCCCGAATGAGTACTGGAAAATGAAGCCAATGCAGAATGGCCACTTCAGGCTAAAAGAGAGTCGATGTTCATAGACCCTAGATTTAAAAGTCACGCTTCATAGCAGAAATAAAGGTGTTTAAAACCAGGTGCAAAATGTTTTCTTTGTTTGCACTCCTTTTGAAATTACATTAAGGATTTAAATTAGAGATAGACCAATAATCACGCTGGTTAAAGGAGGTTTTACATCATCTGCATCATATCAGCATCAGCCCTCGTAAAACTAATATCACCTTCTTCAATTTGAAATGAAAAACAAATTTTCTCCATCCTAAATGAAAAAGAATCCATTTAAAATACATTACCAGCCAAGATAATTACCTAAATAAGATTTTTATGTGCATAAAATAATGGATTTCTTCATGACTTTCTTCTTCTTCTTTTTTCTTATTTAACCATCAATATTTACCTTGTCTTTGTTATTTCAGATTGTAGGACAGAAACTCAAAAGTCCCTTTGCGAAATATTTTACCAAGCTAAATATCGTTCCCTTTAAATCTGTGTGATAAAATATTCACCCAAGTTTTGAAAAAAATAATAAAATTTATAGTATTGTTTTATTTTGTCAGATGCAGAAAAAAAAGAAAGTAAAAAACAGCAACAATGTGATACCAACATTATATATCGAACCGCCTGTTCCCTCAGTATCGGCAAAAGGGATATCGGTCAACCACTAGTTTGAACCATGAAAAAGTAAGCGGCATTTCTACTTTGAATGACAGATAGATACAGCTAGCAGTCAACATTGCCACAGATAAGTCAAGTGACTAAAGTTGAACTCTTGAATATCAACTTTAATCCAAATATGGGCTCTTCTAGCCCTTACAAAAGAAGACAGTGATGGCTGTTGTTATGGTTTAACACCTTATTCTGTGTGTCCTTTCACCCTCTTTGTTTCCCCTGAAGGTGAAACCAATGATTACTAAACTAGATTTACCTGTTCGGAAGCATTTAAGTGGGGACTACTGGTTTCGACCTCCCAGTCAAGGTGTTAGTCTTTGTGTTTAATTAATCTAGTCTTTGATTAACCTCTGTTTAATACTTTGGTTATCTGCTTAAATATGTTACATGGACTTAAGCATTAAAGGTGTTTTCT